CTTCCCCTGAACCAGACTGGGAGATGCAAGATGAACAAGAAACAGTTCCTGTACCTACAAGGCAACTAAACTAACTGTAGACTGGAAGTGGGCACCATTGCCCCCTGCACACAAGCATACATGAACATGCAAATACATGTTCTCCCTTGTATGCTTCTGTCACACATGAGAAGCCAAGCCTAGGGAACGATGCAGGTAGGGGTTGACCCAGGGACCCATCCCAGAATTCTTGTACCCTCTCAGTATTGTTAGCCTCCACAGGGTCCCAGTGACCCTCAAACCCAGGACTTACCCTGTCTGGTTCTTCTTTGGGCAGGCCCCAGGAACCCTCTTAAGAGACAGAAATCTCTTGGACACTGAGTCCACTGCTCAGGGCTGTGGCTCAACCCATCCCCACCCCCATCTCCCCCTACCCAGGCTCTGCTCACCAGCAAAGCATCTGCAGATGTCCTCATGAGTCACGTAGGCCAAGGTGTGGGGGTTAAGGAGAACGGCTGATGCCCTGCCCGTGGCGACAGATGGCTGACCACAGAGAAGACCCAGCTCTTCAACAGAGGTCTGACATATATGCTCTCAAAGAAAGTCCTGAGGCCTGGGGTCTACATGGGGAGGGATCACAGTCCAAGACTGGTGGGCGAGAGGCTCTGAGGAGGGAGCCTGAGGCTGGAACCTGGCCAGGAGCTGTAGGACCATCCTCCCAAGAGGGATAGGGACTAGTGGACCACAAGCAAACCCAGCTGGACTAGAGGGCCCCTCGCCCACTCCCCTGGAGCAGGGACTGCCAGGAGGATATCAGCTGTTCTGCACGTCCTCTGTGACGTTCCGGATGCTCTGCTGCACCCACACCTTGTGCTGGTCTAGTTCTTGCTCTCGCTGCTGCAGCTCCTCAATCTCTGCCTTGAGCTCAATCAGCTTGTCCGCGATCTCCCGGGTATTGCAGCCAGGCCCCACGCCCCTGAGCCCGGGGAGTGAAGCTGAGAGGGGCTGCCAGGAACTCTGGGTCCCACGGCCCCTGCTCTCTCTTGCACCCTCCACCCCACACCCCTGACGCTTCTGGGTAGGAGATCCCGTTGCCCTCCCTGGTGCCCCCACTCACTTCCACTGGATGCTATTCTTGGATTTTTTCTCGATCAGCCCGATACCTTCCAGCACGTTAGTAATGTCATAAATGCGCCGCTTCTGGCGAACAGCTAGGGTGTCAGCTGCCTGGCAGGCAGAAGAGAGTGGGGAATGCTCAGCCCCACTCTCAGGTGAGACTTAGTCTGGAGTAGTCTGAAAAGGGGGTGGCCTTGATTCCAACCCTCCTCCCAGGCACTACAGCAGCTCGGGACTGTGGGGCGGGAAGAGGCCTGGCGCCGCCTGAGCTGATGTTCTGATGCTCTTCTCCCCACACCTGCCGGGGAGGGCCACGAGGACCAACACCTGCAGCCCCAAGCCTGGCACAGAGCTGACGCCCAATGGCCTCGGCCGAATGAATGAAACAGCTCCCGGCCTCCCTCCTGTGAGAAGGCACATGGATGGCGGCCTGCTCTGAGGGCTCAGCTGGGCCGCCCCGGGGGTTCCCGCTACCGGCCCAGGCCTGGTCCACCATCCCCCCATCGACCCTTAGCCCGGGCCTCACCAGCTTGAGGTCAAGCACGCCGTCCTTTGCCTCCTGCAGAAGCGACACGAACTTGGTAGTGAGAAGTCCCAAACTCTTCTCGTGCCGGCTTGGGGTGCCCGGGGGCGGCGGCGCCTGTGGCCCGGCCTCCGCCATAGCGCCCTCCCGCCACCTCCCCTCAGCCAGGCCAGGCCAGGCCGGCGCCGCCGCCACTTCCGCTTCCGTTCCTGGCCTCCAGGCCGCCGGCGCCAGCGTCACTGCTTCCGCTTCCGCTCCGCGCCCTCCCAGGGAATCCAGCACAATTCATCTCTGCGAACACAGCCGAAAAACTTCGGGGACCATCAACAATTGTCCAACCGCCGAAGAGGACGAAAATAACCCCAGGATCCCCGGAGACCAGCGTTGTTAAGGAAGGATGTGGAGGAAGTCTTTGGGCAGCCCCGGCAGCAGGGAAGGAGGAGCCACTGGAACCTTACGGGCTGGCCAACTGCCCCAACTCCACTAACTCTACCCCAACCCTCATCTCAGGAGAGGAGACTGTGCTGCCTGATGAACCCAATGTGTTTCCCCAAACCTGCTCCTAAAGGCTGCCCCACTGTCTTGGGATCACCCATCCTATTCCTGTCCTTCACTTCCTGCCAAACAACAAGCACTAACTACATCTAGCTTGTCCACTTGTCTCCATCCCCACTCTCTTTC